CTTAAAAATGAAGTTTTATCCCTTACCTGAACTCTTCCTTGCTCTGTCTCTCTAGTAAACAACAACAAATTCTCAGTTACTGGGGTCTTTTATCAGTAACTGTTATGTGCTCAAACATACCACAGTTCCTTACTATTCCTCTTTGCTATACAGTATAAAAGTACCCTCTAACTAAGACACTTATTTTATCAGTCACAAAAAAATTATAATAAAGTCATTTAAATGCAGAATGTGTGTAGAAGTGCAGGAATATTTATGCCTAAGCCATGGTCAGGAGTCTGAAGGATCAGCAGAATATGGTGCTTGGTGTTTAATTTTTTCTTCTTTGCAGCTCAATTTTTCTGCATTTCACCTCTTTCCCCCATCTCCCTCCCAGCTATAAACTAGTGTTCAAAATTTGTTACCCTCTTAGGGACTGTAGAGGCCCCACAGCCTACCTGTGAGGGAAGCTAGCTCGAAGTACCATTTATTTGTTCAAGCAAGCATGCAATTTACAAATATCAAGAATAGATTGTTTTTAGTAATGCATAAAACTATCTGCTTTATATCAGCCACCTTTGGTTTGGATTTAATTATAAAACTGTTGGATCTGTTGTCTGATTCCTATTTATGCCTCTCCTAGAGGCAGAGCTCTTTTGTAATAGTTCATGCTATTTCTGTTACCAGGAAAACTGATACATTTTCTGGTTTATTTTTCAGGGCTCACTCCCAAGCTGTAGCTGTTGTCTAGCACAAGGAAGAAGACAGTGGCTGTCTAGGTGAGATGCTCAGTTATGCTTTTCATCTCACTGTTCTATTGAGCACAGTTCTCAGACCAAGAGTCAGGATTTCCACTTCATTGTATTTTCTGGGATGTATGCTGATCTAGAGTTTGCACCTTTTGTATTGGTACTGCTGTGGCCTGACAGAAAACTATACCTGACTTGCATTCATCAAATTCTTTTGAGTGTTGATTGTGGCAAGATACTCTCCAAGTATCAGGGACATACAGAACACAGGAGCTTGAGCATAGAGCTCAAGGTCTTGGAGGGCAGCACTTTTCAGAGCTAACTGCTATGTGAATGCTATGGAGATAGGTATAAATATCATCTTTGTTAGGCTCCATTCATCTCCATAGTGCATATAGTGCCAGTTATAAATTATGAGAGTATCATTGTCATAAAATCTGAACTGAAATCTCACTTTGATCTTCATTGATCCATCTGTTGATTTGAGTGTACCTAGTATCCTGCCAGAACCTCACTTAGAAAAAAAATGATAGTGTGTACTTGAATCATGTTTTAGCTCTGGGAAGGGTGCTGCAGTGGTAAGGAAAGCAAGAGAAAATTAAGCACTGCAGAAATAAGAGCAAGTTCTGTAAAGTAGCTACTGAGAATGAAGAGAAGTTCAAAACAGCCAGAGAATTTGGGTGAAGTAATTTCCAATAGCATCATTAGTAAACATGGTAACAGGAATTATTTAAGTGCAGGAACAACAACAAATTCTCGCTAATGCCATGTGTGAGCTGAGTGTTTCTGCTCTCCCATAACCTTCCCCATTCAGGTAATTTAGCAACCTGCAGCTTATTTAAGGCAGAATTACTTACTGGTCATTACAGGTTGCATGTCTTAAGGCAATGCTAGTGTACTAAGTGGGATTATTCCAGGGGGTTGCAGAAGGCCTTTCCATGGTCAACTTAACTGCCAGAAATGAAGGTGAATTGGAATATATGCAGGTTCTGCAGGGACACAAGTTCACAGCCAGCTGTGGACAGAGGTCATGAGTTTGTTGATACAGGTCCAAAGCATCTCTTCTCCCAGGAGAGATAAATTTAGAAAATGCTTTACTTGAGCTGCTTTTAGATTGCTTAAGTCAGCTAAATTATTGGTCCCAGGGTATAGGAACTGTCAAAGAAAAGAAAAAGAAAAAAATAGTTGATTCCTGATTAGGAGTCAGACACATGATTCAGGGGATATCTGAGCTACTACTTGCTGTGGTGGAAAAAAAATTGCCTGGGATTCTTGCTTTGTCTGGATAAATTTATTGGCTTGCACAAGTGGATGTGTGGGTCAGACCTATTTTATCAATCATGGAACACACTTCTCTGAGTAGGCTGCACTTGAACACGCAGAAATTCAGTTGTTTTGCAGTGATATATATGCAGAGGGCTGTGGGGATTTGGGTTCACAGTTATGGAGTCAAGAAGCTGCATTTGCGTCTGTGAAACAGAGATACATGCTGCCAGGTGTTTTTATTGCAAGGTGAAATTTAGCTAGCAGAGTCAAAGTAGTAGGTAGAAGCAGAGAATGATGAAATAATTTTAAGCTCCAGCAGCTTTGTGTGTCAGCTAACATGTAGTGAGAGTGTCATAGAGGTGCAAAGAGCAGGATTTGAAACTAGGACGTGTTTTTTGTATGAACATGTACAGGAGATGCTTTCAAAGTTGTTAACGGCTACCTTCTGCAAGTAAGTAACTTTGCTGGAAGTGATGAGGTGAGTGGTGGTGTCTCTCAACCACACCACAGCAGCTTTAGCTGGAGTAGCAGACCTGACAGATGGTGACCCCCCAAGGAGGAGAGCTAAGAACGTAAGTGTTGGCATGAGCACACAGGCTCCCTCAGAAGCAAAACACAGGGTCAGAGGGGAAAGGTTCATCTTGTCATCGCTGCTTTCTAACATGTAGCCACTTCCTGTTTCTTCTGAGAAAGGTGAATAAGAAATTAACTTGAATTTGGGCAAAGCTTCAAGATTTTTATTGAATGGTACATATTTAATAAACAAGATTATACACTATCAGTATTTTCATGGAAAATAGACTCAGTTAAACACAGCAACATAGTTCTGCCTTTTGGATAGATGCTAATTTAGCATTTGTAAAATGTAAGGCCCCAGCAGAGCTGGAATGTCCTTCTAGAAACAGCCAAAGAGGGCTTCTGCTGGGCAGCTCTTGTTTCCAACCTGCTGTTAGCACTGGCTCAAATATCATCAGTGTTGATGCCAGCACAGTGCAGTGCCAGTGAAAGGAGCTGAGATCAGGCTTTTAGAGCAGTAGTGTCATCACTGTCAGCCTACAGTGATGCCTCTCTGGAAGTGCAGAGCACTAATGCCAGAAATGGGACCAATAAATAGCAATGCAGGGAAACAAGTCAACATTCCATTGTACATTAGTGTGCTCTTCTGCCTCTGCCCCTCAGACCTATAGGATTAGCCTTGCAATGATAAACACGAGCCTCTGTCATAATAGTGTTTGGATTTCAGTTGTTCAGTAGAAATGGTGAAATTTGACAGGAATATGCTTAGTTGCAACAGCAATAGCTTTTAATGCTATGCATATATATAAATGTATATATATAGACTACATATTGGTACAATACAACTAAAAGAATCAATGGCCTAATGTAGCCATTTTTATGTGACCGGCTTAACCTTGAAATATTAATGCGTAAACTATTTATTCTCCTCCAAACCATAGAAGTTACAAACAATATACTCTCTCCTTCCCTTACACCTTTGTAATAGGACAAATAATTTTATTTCTTTAACCTAAGGGAATTACCAGACTCTCCATCCCAGTTAGGAAACTGTCGCATTCTTTCCTTGTTTCAGTTAACAGTGATGTGGAATGGAATCACTTTTTTCTCTAGCTTTTCAGAGGGCATTTTCACATACACCCCAGTAGTGAGACATTGTCTTCTCTTTATCTGTAAAATATGGGGGGGCAGTAAAATAAACAAGTGATCATAGAGTAATAATTGACCAGCACATTCTAGAGAAAACTGATGTATGTTCTGTCTTTACTCAGTAGAAGGTATTCTAGGCACCTTTCCCTGTCACCTCTCTTTGTAGAACATCCATTGAGACCATTTGAGGGAGAATTAGGAGTTATGGGGGCCATTTAGGAAAAAACAGTCTCCTGCCATTCATGTAGCTGTTTGAAGGTCTTCCTGCTGCAGAGTTCAGAGTTGGTTCTCACTGGGAAGTTTTATTTACATTCTAGGGACTAGAAGGGCAGATAGAAAAATAAGGGACAGGGATACTGTTTGGTTTTATAGTTTGACTTAAAAGCTTTCAGTTTATTTCTAACAGACTGTGAGGTCTCAAGACCCCATGGAAAGAGGCAGCCAAGGCCTACGTTTCACATGATTTTGCATTAGTGCAGATATTTCTAGATGTGAAGTCAAAAATGCTGAAAGTTACAATTCCCAACCCACCCACCCCCCGAATTACATGGGGAAGGCTTCTTAAGTTTGTTTTGCACACAGGTGATTAGTGAGAAAAGTAAAAAAAAAGTCCTGGGATTTTGTATGAACCAGTTGTGAAATCAGGGTACATGTGAAGACTGTTGCCTTTGATCCCTGAAGCATTCAGGACTCCAGCCTGTTCTAAGCATCCAAACCTAAGCCAAAGGGTCAGTCCAGCTGCTGCAAGCTGACTGCTTTCTGGTGCTCTGGCAAAGTGAAAGACCCATAAATAAGTCTAAATAGCAGGTCCAGCAAGTTCTCTTATTTTGCATTGTTGTAGCAGTTTTGCACCAGTAAAAAGGGGCATCCTGGTGTGCTTGCTCCCAGTGTTCTTCCCTGTTCTTATTTCTTTCTGCTTATCCTTTGCACACAAATTGTTATTAGCAGAATGGAACTGAGTTGATGGGACTTACCGCTTTGCCCACGAGAACAGCTGAGATGATGATACTGTAAAGAAAAAATCCTGAGGCAGTAGCTCCTAATACCCAGAGATATATGGCAGTGTCTGGACAAGGTTCTGGATCTAAAACATGATATCACACAAGTCATGTCACACAAAAAGCTCATGAGGAAGCCCCTAGAGTAGTAAGTTAGCCTCCATACTGCTTTTCTCTAGCATGAGCTATCCCAGGATACTACCAGGACTGAGGGTTGAGTCCCCACTCAACCTTCAATGAAAATTCACTTTATCTGTGGAAGAACATACACCTTACTCTCTACTTTGCTAAATGCATTGCATGTCCATGAATATGCCTACTTTAGGTTGGTGCAGGAAGATCTGAAAGGAATAAGAGCTAATCATGATTCTTAACACTTGAATAAATGTTCAGCCTCACTTCTTACAAACAGAACTTTGAAGACCTTTGAGACAGAATAGCGAGTCTCTTAACTTGGGAATATCATAGTATTGTAAAGCTGCTTGGCTTACCAATGACATAGAGATGCGTCCCATTTCCCTTGTTCATAAAATAGGGTGGAGGGTACATACGCTCCATCTTGCAGACGTAAAGACCAGTATCATTAGCTTGCAGGCCAGTGAGGGTGAGGGTCACATTGTTTCGGCTAGGGCTAATGTGGCACTGGATTACCTCTTCCACACTGAACATTTTAAACTCTGTTGTATAGGTTGAAGCACAAATCTCAGTGAACCGATCACCTGTCTGTTTAAGCAGAGTCACTCGAATTTCCTTTGCGTTCCCAATGTGCTTGTATTTACACACCAAGTTGGCAACTCCTTGCCTGTTGGCCAGCACCATTGCTGGCTGAGTCACTTCCATTACTGTAAGGAAGTAAAGAGAATGAAGGTAAGTGGACCGTCAATAAATGGTCTGCACATGGAGTGTGCAGACTTCTGACATGTCCTGCTATTCATGGGTAATTCCTAGAAAAAAAAAAGGACTCCAAGACCACAATTCACATAGGCAATGCATTATATACTTGAAAAAGCTCAATAAGTGTTTTGATTAGTATAAATTATATTATAAATCTCAGCAATTACTAGTTGCTTAAATAGTAGGTTATTTGGCCCACTTACTGGAGTAATGACCTGTATGCTTCAATTTCCCTCAATACAAACCTTCCAATGTATATAAGAAAGCAAAAGAAAAAAATTCATGGGTAATTCCTAGAAATGCTGCTAAATCCTTAAAAAAAAAAAAGGACTCCAAGACCACAATTCACATAGGCAATGCATTATATACTTGAAAAAGCTCAATAAGTGTTTTGATTAGTATAAATTATATTATAAATCTCAGCAATTACTAGTTGCTTAAATAGTAGGTTATTTGGCCCACTTACTGGAGTAATGACCTGTATGCTTCAATTTCCCTCAATACAAACCTTCCAATGTATATAAGAAAGCAAAAGAAAAAAAAAAAAAGAAAAATTAGACTTCAGATGGTAAAGCTGAAATTTGAAATTTAAAACCAGACATTTAAAACACAATTTCTGCATGGTAGAAATAAGCCTGTTGACATCTAGAAACAAACAGGTTTATATCCTGTATACAATATGGAGCAGAACCATTAGGGTAACAGTAAAACTGTATGGAAAAACCTGTTTGTGTATTTTTGCTTCTGATCCTTTTGCTTGTCCTTTTTAACCACGTATTCCCAAGCCACACTACAGCAACAATATATACCTTAGGCTACAGTATAGCAACACACAGCAAAGCCTGATAAACATACTGAAAAAAATCATTACAAGTCTTAAAAGAAAACTAGTGTACCGTGTACATCCCCACTGGCTGCTTTTTTACAACTTCTACTGCTACACAGTGAGAAGGCACTGACTTTTGTTTTTACAAGCTGTGAATGCTCAGTATTATTTGTTCAATTTCATTTTATATCAGTCCATTTTGGAGCAGGGCTTATCTTCTTCAGTTCTGCAGTGCCAGAATTTGGAACAAAGAAGTAGAGTTTCTCTATCCATTCAGACCTCTGTATCCACATTGTCAGTTGCCAGCAGCTTCACTCAGAGTGCCTGATTTGTAAAAGGCTTTCTTCTTCCTTGAGCTATTCAGAATCCTGCCCAGCCTCTACAGATGCTACTGCTCTAAAGCCTGCATCTGGTTTTCCAGATAGCTTACAGTGCCCCAAGACCTTGTTTCCAGACTTCCTTATGGAGGGGTCCCATGTCATCTCCCTCTCTTGTTGTACCCAGTTCATCTGCAAAGATGTGAAAATGAGAACATGTAGACACCCCCAGCTACCTTGCCTCCTTCATCTACCCACCTTCAGCAATGGCAGTGGCTGTGCAGAGAAAGCCCACAGTGATGAATATTGAGAGCATTCCTGTGCAGGTACAGATGCTGCAGGCCCTGAAGGTAGCTGATGCCTTCAGACTTTAAGACAAACTGGAACTCTTGGGGCTGGAAAAAAGGTGACACCTTTCAGGATACTGAATCTTCGAAATGTTTGAACCCACACAGGGTCAGTGTGATATATATATAGCTTTGATCCCAGATGCTGTACCTGAAAGTAATATGAAGCTTTGTTTTGGTTTTACGAGAAAGGAAGTAGTGGGTTTGATTAATACGTGCACAGTTAACCTCAAACAGCATGAACAAAAACAACTGTTCAGCAGATGGAAAATATATATTCAATCCGAAACTGCTGTCCATTCTGCTTTAAAATTGGGGGAGGAAAAGTAATCATCCAATAGGGCAGCTCAGGCCCCTTGGTGCTGCTAGCTTGCACAATCATAGCACTTAATATTTTATCAATCATCAGGTATTTTCTACTGCCCTACAGCTCTGCATAATGTGACATAGTGAATCAGTGAGAGCTAGCTTTTTTATGGAGGACTCCCCTCCACCCCCAATTTCTGTGCTTGCTTTCATGTTCATACTTTTGATGTTTAAAAATTCAAAATACCAATTAACTTGCAATGACTTCAGCTTTTTGTATCAGCAGTGTGACTTGAATAATAACCTAGGTTTTTTAGGCTTTTCTGTTTCCAAGAAAAAAATAATCTATCTAGGTTTATAGCTAATGACTTCCACATCTACACAGTACTTTCCTTACCTACACACTTTACTGCCTAAGTACCTTGAGGTCACCAGATGAAAAACACTGCAGGAGTTTTGATTATTGTTATCTCTGCTTAGAGCACCTGCTTCATTTCAAATCTCAGTGGAACAGTTTTCCCCCATTAGCCTTTTAAAAGTCATGTAAGGTTTGAAAAGATGTTGCTTTTTTCTGTGATAGACTGTCATATCCATGAAATGTTGCCTAAGTATTTCATAATGAAGTTATGCTTCAGTTACACTAAAGGTCATAATTCTTTTTTTTTTTTTCCCACACTTTGAGAAGTTCTTTCAGAATGTGCTGTATTGTTTATATATGTAGATATAGTAGATTGCAAAGACCTACTTTTGGACTGTGACCTAGAAAAAACAACAGCATTAGTTCTTGAACTGTAGTCTGATCAGTCCAAAGATACATTTGGAGAAATATTTGATCTTGATATCATATAAATATAAAATTACATGAATAAATGTATGGCTTCCATATGTAGGTGATACAACAATTGTTTGTAATGACAGATTCATACTCAGTTTGATCTTAGCCAGCATTCAAAACAGAACTGATAATAAAAATACAGCTATGAGAAAATGGAAAACTACACCATAATAGTGTTGGACCCATAGTGTATTACTGCTTAGACAAGTTTAAATCAATTTTACTACTAAATGTATTATTAAATAAATGCTATTGCAACATCATATACCAGAATATCAATGAGATTTATGGAACGAAATTACCAGGTTATGCCTGACATTTTTATATCCAGACTAGTAACCAAATTACCTGTCCTATGTATCTTTTGGCCTTTGGTTTTGTATGCAGTTAAGCAAATTATGCATTTGAGCTTCATCAAAAATAATGTCTTCTCCTGGTAACTGAATGAGATTGCAAATTGATGGTGCAGTTAACCATTAAACACTTGCAAAGTATTTCCATGTAAAACTCAGTGCTCACTGCCCCACATATCCATGCTATCTTATGCAGCTCAATTGAGAGGTTGCTCTGCTCTCTGGCAATCACGACTGCCCTGGCAAACGTGTTTTCAGTGGCACTCAATTTGTTTCTTTTCTGTTTTGTTCTGAGGGTGTCTTTTCAGGTTGACCACTTTTTACGTTATACCCTTTTTCCTCCTTAAAAGCCTCATGCTGTGATGACTGCTCTTCTAAGTAAGGCACAACGTGTCTCCCTTTGGAGTCTCTTGAAGTCATCTCTGTCTTCACAGCCAGAGCAACCTGATGTGAACCCAGGATAATGCCCTTCCAATGGACAGAGGTCACTTTGCTATGGTGCCCTCTATCCTTGCTAATCAGACTTTGCATCTTGAGTTTATGTATGTAGGTGCATAATGCAGTAAAATAGAAATCTTGTTCCAAATGAGATCTTTCCTTCATGGCTCCCATCCTTACCAGCTCAGTTATGACATGGAACAAGGTATTAATAGATCAATGAGTTCCACCCTGAAGTAGGATCCACAAGAATTTCTGGGAATACCTTTTTTCTATGCTCTTCCCCTCTTCTAACTACTCTTCAGCTGATAAGAGTCTCTGGATTTCTGCTTGGTCTGTCTTCCCTGTCGATCACAGCCATGCTTTGTTGGCTACAGCCAGAGGACCTGTCTTAATTAGTTACTGTGCTTTCTTGTCTGTGTAGTCTAGTATCTTCCTGCCCTGACTTCCTCATCTTGAGAAGTTTTTTTCATCTACTCTTTTACCACAACTAGAACCTGACACATGGCCTAGGGCCAGGGCAATGGTATGGGTGAAAGAAGAGCCTCCCTTTCACTTTGAGATTCAGAAGGTCCTTCAGAAAGGATATTTATTCCTCATGTGTCTCAAACAGCCTGTGCTTTGCACTTTTTGTGTAAGATGAATCTTTCCGTTAATGCACATACTTACAGTACTCTTTGTTCTTATGGGTGATATTAATCCCCAGATCACAGGAAACCTTTATACTATCTACTTTTGCTACCATAGCAAAGTGTCAGAGCAAGGCAGGGTACAGAGGGCCTTGCAGAGCCTTAAACTGAGGAATCAACTTAGGAGTGGTTTGGATCTCACAGCCTCTTTGAACTTGGCTCAGAGAGGAACAGACACACAATCACGCTGAACACTGGACTATGCTACTGTGATTAGGCAGATTGCTAGTAATTAACTAGGTTTCTCTTGTAAGTTTCTTTGTCATTTTGGGTTAGTTGCTTGCCTTGTAGTGATTTGAATTGCTTTTCTTTACTGAACACTTGTTATGGCAAACTTTCCTGCTGGCACCCTGTCAGGATTCCCATTGCAAAATGTGATTATTCACTAAGTAATTTTCACACTTTAAAGCCTGTCTTATGCTGCCCATGTGTTTTTCTTCTATGACAGAAACTTGCTTGGGGATTTGCTTGAGATGTAATGGGGAGAAGCTTATCATTTGCATAAGTATCTGGTTTCAGGATATTTTGTTAAACACAGAATGTGAGATCATGCCTTATTATGTTAAACAGTTCACGTTTTTACCATGTTAGTTTGCCACAAACCTATTCAGGTTTTGAAATGCATTGTCATGTGAAAAAAAAAAAAATCCAGACCTCTAAATGGTATAGCTGAAGAAAAGATCTTTTCTACAAAACAATAGATGAAGAGAAAAGGAAATAACAGAGTGACTGGAAAAATATTGTTTTGTTACCATTAAAGGACTAAAACCTGATTAGTGTAAGTAAAGGCCTAGGTATGACCAAGTTTGGTGGATCAGTCTTAGTTCCTGAAGGAACCACAATTTACATCACAAAACCACTGATTTTTAAGTCTATCAGAAATGTGGACTTTGTCAGCTTCTAACCTGGATTTACAGATGCTGCTCTCTAGTCCTAAACCTGTGCCCTCAGTCCAGCCTCAGCAGAGGCGAGGGTGGCACTAAGCTGAGGAATTCTCCATCCGGTACTTCTCAGGGCACACAGGGTCAATCCTCTTGTGCACTTCTGCTGACCAGCAGATTATCCAGAAGGATTTGAGGTGTGAGTAGATGTGTGAGTGCCCTCTCTCTTTGTGCTACAATTGTTGGTATTTTGTTTCCCCTGCTGTAAAGGTAAATATATCCAGCAGGCTTTCCAGAAACTCAGGGAATCTGTGATTATCTAAAACAAAGGGAAAATTGCCCCTGTTTTTCATGCTAACAGTTCTCAGGTCTGCATTCTACCCTTTACCTGGCTGTCTTTGCTACATGTTATTCATCGTAGTCCATACGTGCCCCAGTAGCAACCAGGGCCCCTGCCTGTGTGAAAGTGTTGCCCCGTCCCTATTGCCCATGCAGCTTATAGTCAAAATGTAAGGTGTGAGACTGCATTGAAAGAGATATAGACAGAGGTAAGAGGAAATAAAGAGACAGAACTGAGAAGCAACACAGGCAAAAAGGTCTTTACATGCTAGCGTTCTTACTCTTCTCCAGTTTCTTGTAAAAGGGTTGTGGCAAAGGAGAGATTTTAGGAGGAATTTGAACACAGATGCTGAAGTATCTTGGCAGATAAGGACTTGCCTTTAAGGAAGGAGCTTTCCAAGGCAGAGCACCACAATCTCTTGTTAACAGGTCAGTCATTTGGGAGTGAACACAGAATAAAGCAGACATCTTCATTCCAGAGTGAGCACTGAAAGGTCTGATTCCAGGAATAAGCAAAAAGGAACCAAGAGAACTCCCCAAATCTAAAACTAAGCAGTTAGATATACTCTGTGACAAGCTGCAGCTGTGGAGACAGGGAAAAATACTGGAGAAAGGTTTCCCTTTTGGAAAAAGGAAAAACAGCAAAAGGTAGCCATGTTCCTGATAGTCTCTTTCTCTGACAGTACTGAAGATTGCATTTATTGAGGTATGCAAGAATAAATCATTATAAAGCTTTGCTGAAGACATGAGGAGCGCCATTTTCCTTGAAAATGAGATGCCTAAGAAATACTTTAAAGGATACAGATGAGAAGCATAATTTGCTTGTGTTACATAGCTTAAGAGCCTACTTCCAGTTTTCATGGGGCTAATTAAGTCCTTGATTGAAAAAAAATAAATGATGGCATTTCAAACTGTAAGATCAAAGCAGGAGTCTGACAAACCTAGAATTAAACCTTTACATTTAATAGTTATAAAGCAAAGAACTAAAAGACATTTACATACAGGAGATAGTGCTCCAGCTCACTGGACATACAGAGGATCCAAGTATATGAAAGACAGGAGATCTGACAAGGCAAGACATCTTACTAAGCTCAGTGGGAAGTTCTGCTTAAATAAAAGAGATGACACAAATCACATTCTAAAGCACCTCTTGAATTGATGACAAAATGGGTAATGAAGCTTTGTTCTGCAGAGTCCACAAGCCATTCTGAATAGTGAATATCTGATAATAAAAATGGAATGGGCTGAAAAATTA